ACCGGCGGAGCTTGCAGTGAGCTGACATCTGGTCCCTGCACTTCGCAGCCTGTTTCCTGGCGACAGGCAAGACTCCGTATCTAAGATAAAAAAAAAAAAAAAAAAAAAGAAAGAAAAGAACTCATAAACGTCCGTAGCCAAAAATCAGACAGACCCCCGCAAATGAACACCAAGTTGTTTTGTAAAATGGTCAAAGGAGCCTAAAAAGACAGTTTCCAGAAAGAAGAGCGATTACGTAGATGGGGGGCCAGACAGGGGTTGTCTATGGAGAAGGTTATCAACATCCACTAAATAACTGCAAATCAAAACCAAGAGATGTCACCTCACACCTATTAGAGGTGGTATTATTTTAAAGGACAAAAAGGGTAGACTGTTGGGCAAAAAGATGTGAGAAGAAATGTGGGAACCCCTGAGTATACCTTACTGATGGAAGTAACTTGGTATAGCCATTATAGAAGACACGGGGTTTATGGAGGCTGCCTCAAAAGGATAAAAAAAAAAAAAAAAAAATAAAAAAAAAAAAAAGCCTTTACCCAAAATGACATCCAATAATCCCACTTCTGGGTATTTATCCCAAAGGCGAAAGTTAAATCAGTATCTCAACGAGAATCGCGTAGCATTCCTATGTTTATTGCAGCATTATCCCATAAACAGAATAAGATACAGCAAACAACACCTAAATGTTCATCAACTGTATGCAATGTGATAAGGAAATGTGGTGTTATCATTTTACAATTGGGATATTTATTATAGTCTTAAAAAAAAAAAATAAAAAGGAGGGTTGTTCCGGGCGTGGTGGTCTCACGCCCATGTAATGCCGTTTAGCACTTGTGGAGGCCAAAGCCGGGAACGGATCTCGAAGTTCAGGAGATCAGCCATGTCTTCAGCTAACAGGGGTGGAAACCCAGTCTTCTACTAACAGATACATAAACATATAGGCTGGGGCGTGGTTGGTGGGTGGCACGGCCTGTAGTTCCAGCTAATTGGGGGACGCTGAGGGCAAGAAGAATGGCGCGTGAACCTCACGCCATTAGTCCGAGATCGGACCACTGCATCCAGCCCTGGGTGACAGAAGCAAGGCTCTATCTCAAAAAAAAAAAAAAGAAAAAGGAAATTCCAGGCCAGGCACAGTGGCTTACACCTATAACCCCAGAGGCCGAGCGTGGGCAGGTCACGAGGTTTCGGGGTCAAGACAGCCTGGGCCACCATGGATGAAACCCCCGTCTCTACGAAAAATACAAAATTAGCGGGGCATGTAAGCCCAGCTGTAGTTCCGGCTACTCAGGGACGCTAGAGGCCAGGCGGAGAATTACTTGAATAAACCCAGGAGGTTGGAAGGTTGCAGTTGAGCCAGGATTTTCGCCACTGCACTCCAGTCTTGCGGGGTGACAAAGCGAGGACTCCGTGCTCCAAAAAAAAAAAAAAAGGAAAATTCTCCATTTGCAAACAAACAAAATGGAACCTGTGAAATAAGCCAGACAGCCACAGAGAGAAATATTGTATGATCTCATTTATATGTAGAATCTAAAATAGTCAAACCTATAGAATCAGAGAGTAGAATGGAGGTTGTTAAGGGCTAGGAGTAGTGGGTGATGGGGAGCTGTTGGTTAAGGGGCACAAAGTTTCAGTTATGCCAGATAAAAGAGTGTTGGAGATCTAATGTATAGCATAGTGACTACAGACAATGATACTGTACTACAGTCATCCCTGGGTATCTGCCTGGGATTTGTTTCAGGACTCCGGCAGACATCAAAACCCACACATATTCAAGTCTCGAGGTGGGCCCTGTGAAACCCGCCTCTAGGAGAAGTTAGCCCTCCATATACGTGAATTTCACATCCCACAAACACTATTTTTGATCTGCTTTTGGTTGTAGATGTGGATGTGGCTATGAAGGAATTTTATTTACTGAAAAAAAGCTGCGTGTAAATGGACCACACAGTGCAAACCCATGTTGCTCAAGGGTCAACTGTATATACTTGAAATTTTCTAAGATCGTAAGTGTTCTCACCCCACCCCCCACCGCCCCACACACACACACACACACACACACACAGTGATGTGAGGTGATGGGTATTTTAATTAGCTTGATTGTGGTGATTATTTCACAACATATACATATATCAAATCAGCAAGTTGTACACTTGCTGATATATATTTTGTTTTTTTTAAAAAATATATACTTTGTTTTTTTTAAGATGCTCCTTAAGATAGGAAAGACCACAGAAAGAGCAGGCCTGGGGCTGCTGGTGAGATCAGGAATGTGCTTTGAGATGCCTGCTGTGTATTCAAATGGAGATAAGGAGTAGGAAGTCAGATTCGTGAGTCTGGAGCTCAGGAGAGGGGCTGGAGAGATCCGTCCGGGAGCCTTCAGCATGTGAGCGGTGTGATGGTTAATTTTACATGTCAGCTTGACTAGGCCACAGGACATGCAGATATCTGATTAAATAGTATTTCTGGGTGTGTCTGTGTTCCGGAAGAGATTAGCATTTGAATCTGTGGAGTGAGTAAAGCGGGTGGGCCTCATCCATTTAAGGGCCTGAACAGAACAAAAAGATGGAGGAAGGTTGGACTCGCCCTCCCTCTGTCTGACTGCACGAGCTGGGACGTCTGTCTTCTGCTCACAGCACTCCAGGTTCTCAGCCTTCAAACTCAGACAGAATCTACACCATCGGCCCCTTTACTGGCTTTCTTGGGTTTCCACCTTGCAGGCAGCAGACTGTGGGACTTCTCAGCCTCCATAATCACTGGAGACAATATCTTATAAGAAATCTCGCTGGGTACGGTGGCTCACGTCTGTAATCCCAGCACTCTGGGAGGCTGAGGCGGGTGGATCACTTGTGGCCAGGAGTTCGAGACCAGCCTAGCCAACATGACCAAACCCCACCTCTACTAAAAATACAAAAACTAGCTGGGCGTGGTGGCACGTGCCTGTAATCCCAGCTACTTGGGAGGCTGAGGCAGGAGAATCGCTTGAACCTGGGAGACAGAGGCTGCAGTGAGCTGAGATCGCGCCACTGCACTCCAACCTGGGCGACAGAGCAAGACTCCATCTCAAAAAACCAAACTTTTAAAGTCTCCTTCCATGTTTCTCTGGAAAATCCTAATATGGGTGGTATTTAAAGCCTCGAGCCTAGATGAGATCTTCAAAGGAGTGCGTGCAGAGAGGAAGTCTAGGGACTGGAGCTTCTGTATAACAGACGATAGAGGACTAAGGACTGAAGCCTGGGCCCCTCTCATGAGCAGGAACTAGTAATGCAGGAGGGAAATCCGGAGAGGATGGGTCCTGAAAACCAAGAGAACCTAATGCCGCAAACTCTGCCCACAGTACATGTGGAAGAAGGGTTTGGTGGAGCAGAGGATGACAGCCCTTGCTTTCTGAGGGCTATTCTCTGGCCCAGCCTTTAAGGGAGAGGATCTATTGAGGTGGCACTGCTCCCCAGAGCCAGAAGCTGTCTCTCCCCCACAAGCTGAAACAGGTCTGCACTACAGCTCTGGCCCCTGCTCTCCCAGCCTCATTTCCCTGTGGTCTCAAGTCCTGCTGAGCCTTTAAGACTCAGCTCCATCACTTCCACTCTGCCAGATGGCTGCACCTAACCCCTCGAGATTGAGCTGGGTGCCCCTGGGAACACTGTTGGAGAAATAGCTCCTCTGTTGGAGAAACTCCCCACATCAAACCTGCTTACATGTCTGAGTCTCCCACTTGGCCAGGTGCACTCTGGGTTTCTGGGAAGGTTCCTTATTTCTGCATCCTCAGTTCCTAGCATGGGGCCTGGCATTGAAACTCTCATTAAAGTGTTGCGAAACAGCAACACTCCGCAGAAGCTCCTCCTCAAGCCAGTATCTAGCCAAGACTGGCCCTTCATTATGCACAAGCTCCAGCCCCTGGACTTCCTCTCCTGAAACCTCAAGTGCTGGGAGACCTTGCCAAGTCCCTCTGCAGCAGAGCAGGACCCTCATAGCACTCGCTAAATACCTGTTAAATACCAAGGAATGTGCCGTGGGCTGGGTCCAAATCCCGGCTTGGACATTCTCAAGTAGTCTGAACTTCAGTTTCCCATCTCCAAAACGGAGATGACAGTCGCTCATCCCTTAAGATCCTCATCAGTCCTGACATTTGGGAAAGTTGTCCGGCAGGCTGTAAACGAGCTAGGCAAATCTGAGTTACCAAGGGGCCAGGGCTTTTCCTCAGCAGCTGATTCAGGACAAGTGACTACACCTGGCCAATGCCACATACGGCCTTTTACCGTATTGCACTTGGTTTTCCTCAAGCCACTGTGACGACAAGCAGCATCTTCCTCAGAAGGAACGTGGGGAATGAGCAGGGCCTGGACCCAGTGGAAACTCTAACACACCCATGGCCATTCACAAGTGTTTCCAGTGACTAAAGGCCACACGAAGCACTTAGCCGGACCCTTCCTGAAAACTTCTTCCAGAATGGCTCAGCCTGCAGAGCTGTTCTTGCCAAAGCCACCCCATTACAGCCAGCTTCGCCCCCACTGTCCCACTTCTCTGGGGGGCAAGCCTTTCCCTCATCCCCAGGGCAGGGCCCTAGGCTTCCGCTCTCCCTCAGCAAAAGACAACACAGGCAGGTTCTGAAGCTTGCATGTCAGTTTATTCACACTTCCCCGAGGAACTCGCTCACTGGTCAGGGAATGAAAGAATTGAAGGGATGGGGGATGTACAAGTAGAAGTAAAAGGCACACCTTGAATGTGCTATGATGGGTTGAAAAGAGGTTGGTCTGAAATTGATGAGCCTCCCATTTCAGAGGCTCAGGAAGTTTGTGCCCAGGAAATATGCACACCTTCAGCCAAATACCCTGCACCTGATGGAGCAGAAGCAGGCACTGCCTACCCTGGCCTGGCCGTCTGCTGGCTCTCACGCCAGGCATTTTCTGGGCCTGGCTGTCGCAGCCAGTGGGATCACTAACATTGCATGGCCATGGCATCTTGGCCTAAACAAACAGGTGAGGCCTGGCTCTGTTTACACAGCAGCAACAAAAGTGACTGATTAGCAGGAGATTTGCAGTGCACAAATAATGGGAGAGGGTGTGCTTGTCAGCATTAGATAATGACGCCAAAATGTAGTGTAAACCCACAAGGAGGGGGCGACTCAAGGATGGACACATGACTAATTAAGAAAATGTGACTCTGTGAGCTGAACTGGCTTCTGAACAAACCTAATACAGTCTATGCTCACAGTTTCAGTCCCCTTGACTCTAAACCGTCACAGAAGCAGAAGGAAGAGGAAGTGATGGATTGCCGAGCTGGAGCCTAGGGACTGTCATGACTGTCTAGATCTCTGTGGTCCGAGGGCGTCACAGCCTCCTCAGATCCCGAGCCTGGGATGGGGGGGAACAGGATGTAGATTCCCAGGAGGGCTGTCCCCAAGACCCTCTCCCTGCCTGCCCGGCTCCTCGGGCCTCCTCTTCTACCGCTTCTTCTTAGTCTCTTTCTTGGGCCTCTTGTTCACAGAAGGAACAGCAGCCTTGGGCTTCCTCGTCACCTCAGCACTTCTGGGCTCAGACGGTTCCGCCTCCTGTGAGGTGATAAAAAGGAGAGTCCTGCTTAGATGGATCAAGCCTGATGCCAGCAAAAGGAGATCACATCGGAAAGCAAAGAGGCATGCCACAGAAACACAAGAGATGGAAATCGTCATTCCCGGGACCTAGCACCCACATGTATGTGGGACTGCCCCGGGAGCATCGTGGCTCTCAGTGGAGAATAAAGGAGGCCCCACGGGGAGGGGGCAGCTTGTGGGATCTCAGACGCCCAGGCAGAACCTGGGATCCTTCTCTTTCCAGCCAACTGACTTTGTGGGAAACTCACTTCCCCTTTCTGTGTCTTGGTTTACTCACCTGTGAAATGGAAATAGCCACGCCCGCCTTACAGGACTGATGTGAGGAGGCAAAACTACGTGGAAAGCACCCAGGAAGTGCCAGCTGCATCCAGTGGCTGGCCAATCATCCTGTGTCAGGGACTGGACAAAATGTGGGCGAGGAGCTGGCTGTGGGGCAGACTCGCTGTGGCTTGCCCTCCTCTGGCTGCCATTCTTGTCTTCCCATTCAACCCACAGAATGCCAGGGCTGGGAGGGGTACAGAGGGCCCGCCAGCAGGTACGCAGTTCCACACTGTGTTCTGCGGAGCCTGGCAGAGGTGCCTCTGTGGGGGAGGGCAGAGGCAGCCTTGGGGCAGAATTCCAGACTCCCCTGGCGACAGGAGCAGCTCTGATTTTCAATCTATTTCATACACTGTGATTTGTCCCTTGTAAGATTTAAATGAAACAAAGTTCTGCTGCTAAGGAATAAAAGGTTCAAACCCACAGATCCAGCCCTGGTCTTTACTGTGCTGATAAGGAAGGTAGACTTCAGCGAAGGGACACAGCTTGGCCAGGCCACTCAGGCTCATGTCAGAGAAGAATCTGGAACAGGCTCCGTGTGCTCCTGTCTAGTGTCCTCTCCTCCTCTGAGTGATAACTTGCAGTGTGCCGTGGCCAGAAAGGACGGACGTCAGAGAGGCCGGGCTAGCCCAGAGAACGCCAATCACAGCCCACAGGCCTTGTCCAGGCCACAGACTTCATTTGGCCTACAGTGTTTATTTAAAAACTCAAGCCAATTGGGAGATTTCCCATTAAATCTGGATTCCTAGATTCTCTTGAAACTAACTGTCCGGTGACACTGGCCCTGCATTCCCTTGTGGCAGCGATGGGCTGAGGAGGCGCTGCCCCTTTTCAGGTGCCGACCATGCCCCCACACCCCGCCGCCCCCAGCACTGATTGGGAAATGTTTCTCAGTGCCCATGTTCTTTATGAGAAATAGGAAAATACGAAGCAGACTAAGATTCCTGGGAGGGGGGATACTTCCAGATGAGGAAAAACCCCTCTGTGTTTCATTTCCAACCCGGCTTCCAGCTCACTACACTCCCTGACCTTCCTTGCTTGCCCCATTGGCCCACGGCCCAAGCCTCAGCCCACCCTACAGAAGAGGTGGGCCCATGCAGGGGAGGGCAGTCCCTGCCTCGGATCCGATCCAGAGGCCTGTCAGCTCCCTCCTATCAGCCAACACTTGTCTCCCGCCTGGGCGAGAAAACCAGTTATGAAGAGCCAGTCAGGTCTCAGGCCCCCAAGGAGTGACTGTCCCAAGATAACCGAAGGGCTTCCCCTCCCCAGCCTCTCACTGCAGCGCTGGATTCCCTTGGCCTGCTGAACCTCCTCCTGCCAAAAGTCAAAATGATCTGAAGGTCCCCTACTCTGTTTATGTAACTTGGCCAAAACAAAACAAAACAAAATTTGCAAGGCCTGCCTGGATCTCTAGGAAGGAGTCTGCCTTCTGAGTTCAAGGCTGGGGGCTCCTCCAGTTTCAATGGGGCTCAGTTCAGAGACCACAGGGACAGTGAGACCCAGTTGCCACCCTAGTGCCTCCCTCACTCCACAGGCCCTCTCTCTGGAGCCTCAACCCTTCTGGCACCTCCCAGACCTCTCCCTTGATCCAGCTGTCTGCCAGACGATCGGGACCGGCGTCTCTAAGGCACCTCCAACTGAACTGTCCCTGACCCCAGAAGGCCCAGCCCTCCACTCACTGGTGGAGCAACCAGAGACCCGGTGACCTCACCGTCTCTCTGCTCCCCACTGTCCAGTGGGTCACCATGTCCTGCTGACATGACCCCCTCTACCTCCTGATTCTGCTACTCTCTCCAGCATCCAATTCCCCCTTCAGTTCTGCCCACTGCTAAGCAAAGTGCCTGCTGTCTTTGTCCATTCCTCATGCACCCACCAAAGGAACTATTCTAAAGTGCAGCTCTGGCCACTGCACCTTCCACCTGAAAGCTTCCAGTGGCTCTCTGTGGAACGGCATCTAAGGAGACCGCTTCTCCAGCCTCACCCAGGCTCCTCTTTATCCCCCACACTAAGTGAGGCCCCAGAGCTTCCGCTGGTCACCTTCATCAACAGGAATACCTGCTTCCTTGGCCACCTGGCAAGCTGCTCCCATTGTTTGGCCCTGTCCATGAATACACTCCTACTCACTGTCTAGCCTTCCTTCCCTGCTCCTCCCTCCAGCTGGGGGCAGCCCCTCCTCCTTCCTCAGGCCCCTAGGCACCCAGGAACCTTATAATGTCACTACTTTTTTTAAGACAGGGTCTCACTCTTTTGCCCAGGCTGGAGTGCAGTGGCTCGATCTTAGTTCATTGCAACCTCCACCTCCCAGGTTCAAGCGATTCTCCTGCCTCAGTCTCCTGAGTAGCTAGAATTACAGGCACCCGCCACCACGCACAGCTAATTTTTTATATTTTAAGTAGAGATGGGGTTTTGTCACGTTGGCCAAGCTGGTCTCGAACTCCTGACCTCAAATGATCCAAACGCCTCAGCCTCCCACAGTGCTGGGATTACAGGTGTGAGCCACTGCACCCAGCCCATAATGCCACTATTATTTTCCCATAGTTACATGTTTTCATGTTAGCCCCTATTAGCCCATGAGCACTTTGGGATAGCTTCAACTGTTGCTGAATGAATGAATGAGTGAATGAATGAATGAATGAATGAATGAAATGAAAGAACAGCCAAGTCTCCCAGTAACCATGAGAACTTCATTCTTGTTTATTCCCATGAAAATACAGCACTTAAAACTAGGCCTCACTTTTCTATGATCACAGAGGATATGAACAGACTTAAAACCCAATATACATACCCTGGCCTAAAGTATGCCTAAGGATAGCTGCCAATAATAACAACAACAGCTGGGCGTGGTGGCACATACCTGTCCTCCCGGCTACTTGAGAGGTTGAGACAGGAGGATCACTGAAGCCCAAGAGTTTGAGGGTATAGTGTGCTATGACTGTGTCTATAAATAGCTACTACACTCCAGCCTGGGCAACAGAGTGAGACTCCCTCTCTAAAAAATAACAAGAGCCACAACAGCTGCTAATTATTTATTGTTTATAATATGCCAGGCCCTGTGTTATGTGTCTGGACATGACGGCCTCACAAAGTGCCATAATGAGGCCCAATTTATAAACAAAGGAACAGACACTCAGGTCATATGACTTGCCTAAGGTCTCAGCTGGTGAGTAGCAGACCCAAGATTTGAACCTAACCTCTTCATGGGTACAGAGTCCAGCCTCTCTCAGGTTTCCTGGGGTCCTCAGGGGTAGGAATACGTTGAATCTGAGTTAACTGTGAAACCTACTCTCTGTTTAGCAGCCCCTAGAACCACAAGCTGCCTCTGGAACGATAAGTATAGCTCTTCTGAGAACCTATCTGTCGATGGGTCACTTAAAACCCCTTGTTTGTGACTAAAGTCCCTATAGGAGTCAGAAAAGTGGGTTTGTACTCCAGATCACTTGATTTTTTACAGCTGAAGGCAGTCTTCTGTGGGTGTGTGTACATATTACAGTTATCGAGTCATCTGAATGCGTGATCTGTCTCCTCCTCACCCCAGACCTCCTCCTCTCTTCCCCACCTCAGCTTTTAGAGCCGTCATGCACCCAGTTACCCAAGTTAGACACCTCCAAGTCATTTATGAGTTCTCAGCATCCAACCTATCCCCAAGGTCTGTCCATTCCACTTTCCAGCGGGCTCTAGACCCAGCCAGTCCCCTCTGGACACACTCCACTGCCCAGCTCAGACCCAGGTCCCCTGCCAGCCCCGCTGGTTGCATCCAACTCCCACAGATTCTCCTGCCCATGCCTCTACCTCCCCATATTCATCCGAGTTTACTTTATGTTACTTTCAGAGTCAATTTTCCTAATACAATGACAACACGCCAGGCGCAGTGGCTCATGCCTGTAATCCCAGCACTTTGGGAGGCCAAGGTGGGTGGATCACCTGAGGTCGGGAGTTCGAGACCAGCCTGACCAACATGGAGAAACGCCATCGCTATTAAAAATACAAAATTAGCCAGGCGTGGTGGTGCATGCCTGTAATCCCAGCTACTCGGGAAGCTGAGGCAGGAGAATAGCTTGAACCCAGGAGGTTGACGTGAGCCAAGATTGTGCCATTGTACTCCAGCCTGGGCAACAAGAGCAAAACTCAAAAAAAGTTTCATTCAAAACAAAAACAAACAAACAAATAAAAAAAACAATGACAACAACAATCCCAATCGTGTCTGTTTCCTCCTTTAAAAACCTTGCTGGTTCCCCTTTGTGTGAGATAAATTCCAAGACACTCGGCAGGGGCTCCGGGCCTCTCGCTCAGTCTTGGCCCCTGTCTCCAGGCAGGCCCCCTTGCACAGCCGACTCTTGTCACCCTGGGCTATTGGCCAGCCAGTGTCTCCCAGTACTCTGCTCCCTTTCCTCCTCTGTATCTCTACCTGCATCCAGTACATGTGGGCACTGTGCCCATGGGGAATGAAGAGGAGAACGCACACTTAGCGGGTCTGTGTGTGGATGCTCCCCGAGCCTCTCCATTGCCCTGGTGAGCCAGCCACCACGAGCCACACTCCACTGGCAAGGCCACTCAGGCTCCCTGAGGCCAGGTGACAGCCCCATGCAAGCTGCAGGGAAGCAAAGGCGGCCGTGACCCACACGACCTGGGCCCTGGAGTCC